AGTCCCAGTTCTGGTCTAAGTCAAGGGGTCAGTCCAGATCCAGACTTTCAAGTCCAAATCCAGGCCGAAGTGCCTCAGCAGCAGTTGAACCTCATTGGGACTGTACTGGGACACATGCAATGCAGGGTCTGGGACAAAGGGAGAGGCTGAATTGAGCCAATGCAGACCCAGCGAGGAGTGGCCAGCACTATAAAAAGAGCTGCCTGCCTCATTCCTCGCCAGATCTCCACTGGCTGCAATGCGTGGAAGTGCTGGTGCACTTGTGCGCTGAGTCAGGAGGAGCAGCGCTGGAGGAGAATACGCGCTGGAGGGAGGAAGAAGCCTGTACGCTGGAAGTGATGCAGCCATAGCTGCCCAGCGAGTTAGCATTAGTAGTAGAGGGTTAGTATGTAGCTATGAGTAGTATCCAGAGTAGATCCTCATGAGTATTAAAGAGTGTGTATGCATCATAGGAGGAAGGGATTGAGRCTGAGAGTGTTCATTCAAGGTTTGGCTATGGAAGATACTTACCTGAGTTGGATGTGACCTGCGGAGGTGGCGCTGATGAGTAGTGACCACATTGATGACTTGGAGAGTATCTGCAGGGGTAGCACTGATTCACTGGAAGTCATATTGATGAGTTGGCAAGATATTGGTGTTGCGCTGRTGAGCGCTGGACTCAGGGGAACTTTGAAACACTTTGTATTCATATTTCTGATAATATAAGCTGTGAAACTCGGTCCTCATCTTCTCTATCTTTGTCTATTGTGAGACTACTGTTCATTGTGTGTGGGAGTACGATGCATGGCATGTACACACTTGCGTGAGATGGTCCCCAGGACCCATGCAGGAGCATCACACTATGCCCTTATAATAGCAGAACAGCAAAATCAGCGGCCAGATTGAGTCCTCCTTTCTAGCAGGTTGTTTTGTTAGGGTGTTTTTTTTGGTGTAAGTTTCTCCCACATCGATGCCACTCTTTCCCAATTTGGTCGAGTGTCTTTCGTTTTGTGAGTGGTGTGGCGAGGCCCAAATTCGAGCGGAACAAAAGACACCAGGAAACAACGGAAAAAACGAAAGTGAGACACCAGAAAACGACAAAAAAAACATAATCGACCAACTCCAAATAAACAACCAAAAAGAAATAAAAATTGACCCAACTGGACCAACTCCAAATAGGGAATCTCCTGAGCTAAGACTCCTAAGAGACTAAACAGAAGCAGAACAACCACGATGGAGAGCTAAGAAATGAATCAACCAGAATGACCCCCTCCCCTCCCCCCCCGCCAAAAAAAAGGCACAACAGCACCCCAAAAGCAGAAAAAAAAATTGTGCTGCCCTGGGCTCAACTGGGAAGCACGGTTCCCCGAGACCCTCTATTGAAGTCTATAGATTATGAAAAAAACTGCTGCATTGCATGGGATTACAGTTTTCAACTTTCAAGTTTATGATTATGATACAATTCAGATGCTGTCGGTTTGCATGGGAACACGGGACATTCTGTGTGTCCAAACCCAAAGTACATTGTGCAGACAACCCGCTAGCTTTGGGCTTAATGTGGAATGTGCACATTCATAGCCACATAATATGTTTCACAAAGCAGTGGGGCGCTATGCAGTCTATATCCAGTACATGTATTGCCAGACTGCTAACAGAGTCTACCGCATGCTTACCTGAGATGCCAATGTCTCTTGGTCATTCCAGCGATCCATGAGACAGAAGTCACAGAACT